TGCAAGGAGATCCAACCAGTCCCTCCTAAAGGAGATCAGTCCTGGATGATCATTGGAAAGACTGCTGCTGAAGCTGAAACTCCAGTACTTTGGCCACCTCATGCAAAGAGTTGACTCATTGGGAAAGACCCTGATGCTGGGAGGGATTGGGGGCAGGAGGAGAAGGGGATGACAGAGGATGAGATGGTTGGATGGCATCACCGACTTGATGGACATGGGTTTGAGTAAGGTCCGGGTGTTGGTGATGGACAGGGAGGCCTGGTGTGCTGCGGTTCATGGGGTCGCCTAGAGTCAGACACAACTGAGCAACTGAACTGAACTGAACTGAACTGAGTTGTTCAGGGCAGACTATTGTGGCCCTTAGACCCTTCCAGCCTTTTTATTTCAGACATAGAAAATTTTATTGAATTTTGGAAATTTGTCTTACCAAGGCATGCCTCTGTGGTTCAGATAGGCATATAATTTGACTGAGAGAAAGCTGGTAAACATGACAGTTTAGTTGAAACCTAATTTCCAGCTTTGGTGTACCATAATGATGGTGTACTCACAAACCCTTGTCTAACTGGGGGATGGCTTCTCAGCTGTGATTTTTTTCAGTCAGTCATTTCTTCTGAGGGCTTTTTAGAAAAGTTAAAAGTTAGAATGACTCAAAAAGATAAGTTGGAACAAACCAAATTCCAAATCAGCAGTCTAATCAAAATAACCTAAATATCCAAATTATTAAAACTGCTTAAATAAAATACAGTAGGTTATGTGATGGTATGTAAGTTATATGTGTGTTTAAATAGCAGCAGCAGCAAATATGCATTAAGAAGGGTCTAAAAGGATGTACACTAAAGGGTTGTCAGTAATTCTGCATTGGTGAGATTGTGGAGATTTTTATGTTTATTGCCTTATCTGTATATTCTAATTTGTCTTAATGATCACATACTACTTTTGCTAAAGACCATATGGAAACTAAATACTAGTACTATTCTTAATCCGCAAAACCTATCAATACTAGCAGAAAGACTGAAATATTAACTCTTCACCAAATTCTTGCTTTTTATAGAATGACATTAACCCTATGATTTTCTATTTTCTGTAATACCCTGTTCTCTCAAGCTTAAATGTCTCTCCTCATTCATCTTCCCTACCATTTGATTCCTTTTTCAGCCTGGCGTCTTCTCCATTCGTTAAAATTCTAAAACAAATATCACCTTCCTTGAGAAGCTTTTCTTGACCCCTTATCTGCTTATGGTCAAGGGTCTATGGTAAACAGTGGCTGGCTCACAAGTCAAACCCATTCAACACTTCTACTGTCCAGTCTGCAGACTAAAGAGAGTTTTAACATTTTTTAATGGTTGAAAAAATGATCAGAAGAAGAATATGAGCAACACATGAAAATTACATGAAATTTGAATTCTAGTGTCTACAAATAAGTTGTATTAGAACACAGACATGCTCATTCATTTGCATATTATCTGTAGCTGTTTTCACCCTACAATGGCAGGTTGAGTAGTTGTGACAGAGAACAAGCGGCCCACAGAGTCTAAAATGTTTAAATATGTTATACAGTATCTTAAATATCTCTGGCCCTTTATAGAAATTTGCTAACACTAGTTTTAGAACATTAGGCTTCCTCAGTGCTCACAAAAGACTCTATACCTACTGCAAATTCTGGAAGGAAGGAGGATCCTCACGCTTTGGAAGTGAAAGACACTTTCTAATTCAATTGGTCTCCCCAGCATCAAGCAGAGAGCCTCATCCACAGGAGGCACCTGATAGACACATGATGCCTGAAGGAATGGTGTCAGCTCCCTCCCCTAGACTTGTAAGTGACATGAAGACAGGCAGTTTTATCTCCTTTGTTCACTGCACATCCTCGGTGTCCAAAAGTATTTGGAACATGGCAGGCACTCAGAGAACAATTGTGAAAGTTCAGTCCATGGGTCACTAAGAGTGGGACACAACAGAGCAACTTCACTTTCCCTTTTCACTTTCATGCATTGGAGAAGGAAAGGGCAACCCACTCCAGTGTTTTTGCCTGGAGAATCCCAGGGACGGGGGAGCCTGGTGGGCTGCCGTCTATGGGGTTGCACAGAGTCGGACACGACTGAAGCGACTTAGCAGCAGCAGCAGCAGTGCCTCAGTACCAGTACCATATTTCTGAGTTTTGTAATTCTTAGGTCAGATCTTTGACTTTTACATCTACTATTTGACGACTGATGAAAACAAAACCCCACCTTCCAAACCTCAGAGAAACAAAGACAGACAGTGTGAACTTCTCAGGAAAGGAAGTAGTTGAGGTCTTTTCAAGAACGTATCGATTTACCCCTGTCTGCGGTGCCTCTCAACACACGCACTGCAGTCTGTTTTTACCTCTTCCTCTCCCTCACTTGGAGCAACTACATCAGGGCAGGTATTAAATCATGATCCTGCTGACACTGAGTTATTGAATACCTGTGGCAGCAGGGCTCCAGACGCAGAGTGAGACTCAGCATTTTGTCCCTGTTTCAACCAGGATGAGGTGTACTTTAAGAGATTAATGTGCAGATATAAATCATGGTCTAAACACTTCATCTGGTCTTGGACAGCCCCTCTCCCAGTGAGCTGAATGCTGTTTATAGGGGATGAACTAGCTAGCTTTCATACCAGCTCTGTGAGTTTGTAGGAACGATGAACTTGGGATTCCTGTTCTGTGCTGAAGAGTCGTGATACCTTGCCTGGCTCCAGTGCTGTCTTCTGAAATCACATTCTAAAAGTGCTTTCCGTGAACGAAAAATATGCCAACTTAGTGTCTGACTTTATCATACTTGCCTTATTAGGGGCTTTACAATGTTTTGTAGCTTGAGTATGGGGATCCATTTTGTTAAGTGCCTTATCAGTGCATGCTCCTTTCTCCCGAAGCCCAAAAGTTTCCAGCAAGGCAAAAATCTGAAGGAGGAGATATTTGTCTCCCAAACACTCTTGTCTGGTGAAAAGGCCTAGCCAGTCCCCACAGCCTAGCATCTCCTGGCAGCCCAGGAAGTAACCTCTTCCTCTTAGCTCTGCACACCCCCTTTTTTCTGGGATTTATACATGGTTTTATCAAAGGATCTATTTATCAGCAACCATTTACTCCTTTGCTTCATCATGGTGGAGCTGAAAGCTCTTCACATTCAGAAGAGCCCTGTTCTCATGCACACACAGGTCAGGGGAAAGGAAGGTCAGTCTTGGCTTTCTGTGCTAATTCACACCCCCCCAACCCCCCCCCCCCCACACACACCCATGCTTGCCTTTTAAAAATCTATATTTTAGCGCTTTTTTTGGACAGCAGCAACGAGCACGATTGTGAACACTCATAAAAAGGGGTAAAATACTGAAGTCACTGCTAAAGGAAACTGACATTCCCACTGTCCTCCTAAGCACAGGGAGCCTTAGGACTCTGAGTTCAGAAGGAAGCAGAGACATGCAGTGATGCAGAAGGAGCATGCATGGGCTTCTGAAACAGTCTCCCATGCATCCCCAGCCTCTCTGAACCTGGGTTTCCTCGTGGATTAAATAGGAAGAGCACCTTTTAAAGTTGTTGTGAAAAGTACACAACTTAGTTCAGAAAAATGTCAGTCACTCCCCACACAAAGTCAGGAAATAATTATTAAATGGGTGACCCAAGAGCTGACCAGGACCTCCGTCATACTCTGTAGGACACAAAGGAGCATTGCTAATCAAAGATAAAGTGAAGGACTTCAGAGGAGATCTGTGGCTGTCATAAGCTGGAGTGCAGCACCAGGTGGAATGAGGGTAATCTCTGACAGATCTTTCTCTTATCTGAAAACCCAGATCTTTCTTGAATGAAAGAGAGATGGGGTAGGATGATTGCAAATGCAAGGGACAAATGTGCCCTTGTCCGTGGATGTATGTAGTGGACGCTGACATCACCACTATGTAGGCAGAACACAGAGATGTACTAAACTCAGCGTCCCCAACCTCCAGGATCTAATGCCTGATATCTGAGGTGGAGCTGATATAATAATAATAGAAATAAAGTACATAATACATGTAATGTTCTGGAATCATATGGAAACTATCTTCCCCTCCCCCACCCCTTTCCATGGAAAAACTGTCTTACATGAAATCAGTCCCTGGTGCCAGAAAGATTGGGGACCGCTGCCCTAAACTAAAGCTTATCACAGCCAGAGCTCAAAGGAGACTTGAGTGGTGACTCTTTAGCATTACCCTCAAGACAGCTCTGAATGCGGGGGGCCTATCTTCCAGGTGTTCCCTCAGCACTTGTTTCATCTCTATCAAGAAATTTTCTAATTTGCCATTTTTTCCAGAAATAGTTAACTTTAATTATAAATGATCAAACGACTTCTGGGTGTTGTTGGGAATGGGGGAGTGTCAGTTGACATAATGGGTCCAATATTCATGCCTCTAGGATGACAATGGTCAAGTTGGGTCTTTTCCCAAGCTTTTATTAGTATCTCACTACCAAAAAGACCTTTAAGAGGGTCCTTGATTTCAGATCTTTAGAGAGAGCTCTGATTAGATTTTCTTAGACATGAGAAAACACAGGCAAATGCTAAGTACCCAAACCTTTTTATGGGTGAGAATGTAATATTTTTAAGATTTAGCAAAGTTACATACACACCTGACAGATGTGATTATCCACTTACAAAAAATATTAGTTTGCTTAAAAAAACCCAAAAAACTTCAATCCAAATTTATTAGGATTACAAAAATAACAGCACATTTCATGAACTCATTATAGCTCAGAGTTACCAACACATCCAGAGCATGTTTAAATAAACTGCTTCTTGTCAATACAAATCTCATGACATAAAAAAGAAGTTTATTTTAATATTTACAGAAGAAACATGCTGGTAGTTTCTTAACATTCTCTTTGGAATTAATGGGTGAGGCTATTTTTAAAGTCAGAGAACATCTCAAATTGAAGAAGGCATTTTAGAAACATCTCACAATACATTTTATCTAATACCAACTGAATAATTCTGCATCCTCTTCTAAAAATCAGGCTTTTATCGCAGAGCTTCTGGAACTTCCACCTACAAAAATAGGGGATTCTCTTTCAATAAAAACAATGAAAATGATAAAGTGAAAAAAAAATTCTGTACAGTATGACTTTAGCAGTATTTTCTAGAAAGAACTCAGATTGCTGTGAGTGCATGTGTGCAAAGTTGCTTCAGTTGTGTCCACCTCTTTGCGACTCGATGTCCTGTTGGTCCGCCAGGCTCCTCTGTCCATGGGATTCTCCAGGCAAAAATACTGGAGTGGGTTGCCATGCCCTTCTCCAGGGGATCTTCCCCAGGGATTGAACCCAAGAGGTCTCTTACCTCTCTTACATTGGCAGGTGTGTTCTTTATCACAAGTGCCACCTGGGAAACCCAGATTATTGCTGGGTGATGTTCCAATTTTTTTATTATAAATTAGGTGTTAAATCACTCGCAAGAAAGAAAGACAAGAAAGTGAAGTCTCTCAGTCATGTCTGCCTCTTTGTGACCCCGTGGACTGTAGCCTACCAGGCTCCTCCATCCAGAGGGATTCTCCAGGCAAGAATACTGGAGTGGGTTGGCATTTCCTTCTCCAGAGGATCTCCTGGACCCAGGGATCGAACCCGTGTCTCCTGCATCGCAGGCAGACGCTTTAACACTCTGAGCCACCAGGGAAGTTCAATCACTTGCAACTCGGCGGTAAAATTTTTGTCAAGTGATGAATCTGTTTTGGAGAGATATACCCTGATTTCTTATTAAGGAAATTGGGATTTTTTTTTTTTTTTTTTTTAGGTTGAAATGTCTTAAGATGAGCCTGGCCCTTAAAAGACTGAGATGCCAAGAAGGTGGACCAAGCACATCTCTCAAACAGAAATGTGCTCTCGCAAGTGACCTGCTTTTGATGCTCCGGATTTGGCAGCCTGCTCCGGCCTATACTGGTAAGTGTTAGAGAGGTGATTTGGTACCCGAGTGCGGGGGAGGCTGACTCCTACGCTAGGTGCTCGCCCCAGTCTGCCCTTGGGTTACTTACCCGCCTTAGCTGTTTTATGCTGCTTCCCCGAATAGCTTCCATGAGATTCTCGTGAGCTGATCTCTGTGGGGTAGACGGTCGGGAACTGTCTTCCATTTTCTTCTCCTGCACCGACCTCAGGGAATTTTTAATTTCCTTTAGGATATTGTTTGGCTGTTTCTTAGCCTTTTTCCCTTTTTTCTTTTTCTGTCCGTTTTGTAAGGCCCGCTGGGCGCTCTCCTGCTGTTTGATGACTTCCGCGATGTTGCGGGTGATGAGCTTCTTATCTGCGGGCGGAGGCGGGGGAGGCGGAGGCGGGGGAGGCAGCCTTTGGGGAGCAAGAGGGGGCGGGGGCGGCGGCGGGGGCGGGGCCGGGGGCGGGGCCGGGGCCGCCGGAGACGGAGGACGGCTTCTCCCAGTTCGGACTTTCCTGGGGAGTCTGGGGGAAGACCAGGGGGAGTGCTTGGGAGATGCGTACGGTGAAGAGCCCGGCGTGCCCCTCCGCCAGACTCTGGTCCCAGGGGTGGCTCCTCCGTCGCACCCCTCCTGCTGTTTCTGCTCCTGCATCCGCTTCTGCCGCTGCTTATCCATGTTTCTGGTCAAGAGGCTGGTCATGCTCATTCTTGGTCCTGGCAGCTCGAAATGGTAGCCCAGCCTCAGAAGCGTGGTGTTCTCCCTCAGCAGCTTGACGATCTCCATCTCCACCTGGCTGCCCATGATGTGCCTCTGGTTGTGGAAGCGCAGCTCGGTGAGCACGCTGTTGTGCTGCAGCGCCCTCATGATGGCCAGGATGCCCTTGCCCGTGATGAAGTTGGACTCGATGTTGACGCTGGTGATGTGCCGGTTGACCCGGAGCATGTCCGCGATGGCCGTGGCCGCGCTGTCGTCGGCGCGCGTGTTGGCCAGGCTGAAGGCCTTCACCACCGTGTTGGCCTTGAGGGCCTCGGCGAAGCGGGCGAGGGTCTGCGAAGTGATGTTCTCGATGTTGTTCAGGTTGACTTCCGTGGTGTCGGGGTCGTTGTTTTTAATCTTTTCCAAAGCATCCTCGATCACTGTGGGGTTCCCGCAGGGGTGAATGGCAGCCGGGGGAGACTCCGTGTTCCTTCCGCTGTGGCCGTTAGTCAGATGGATGTTTTCGATTTGACTTGTAAATGTCTTTGGCCTCGCGTTGTCAGAATGGACACCATCGGAATGCACAGATCCGTTCATCCCTCCCTCCTTCGCACCTGTTCTTTCCTCTCCTTCGCTGTCCTCCTCGTCCTCGTCCTCGTCCTCGTCCTCCTCTTCCGTGTACACATCCTCAGAAACCTCACTGTTACATTCTGTAAAGACAAGCTCTTCCTCACTCTCCTCTTTGTCCTCTTCTGCAACCTAAAGAGCAGAGTATCCTCATGAAGCTTGCCATAGTAAGCACATTATTAAATTTTACAAAAGCAACACACGGTTTTGCAATATATACATGTATCAGATCATCACGTGGTTGCTCTAAAACTCACACAATGTGATATGCCAATTATATCTGAATAAATTCTTTAAAAAGTAACACACAAGCAAGTAAGACAAAACTTTCTAAGAATAAAAAGTTCGTCTCCAGCTACTAATCTTCCTAGTTCAGGTGACCAGGGATAACATTTCCTTGCATAACTCGCACCAGCTTTTTCTGTATTCTGCAGAATTTTTTTGTATTCTGCAAAATAAATACCCAGAATTCTGTTTATGGAATAAGAGTTTGCCATCATTTTGCCAGTTTTTAACAAATAAGTGGGAGCTCCTGCTCTGGAAAACCCTTGATAGCATTTTTATTCTCTTAACTCCCTCTCCTGAATGACCTGACTTCTAGTCCACTTACCGCTTAGCAGATTCAGCCGTCCCTTGGGGAATCACCCTTCTGTCCTTCCTTATTTCTCCATCCCAAACATACAAATGACAACAAAAATACATAACACGTTTATGAGTTCCCTTTCTTTTCTTTAAGATTTCTTTTTGAGGGGATCATTTTTAAAGTCTTCATATCAAATTTTGTTCTGTTCTGTTATTTCTTCTGCTTTGTGTTTTGGCTTTTTGGCCCTGAGTCATGCGGGATATTAGCTTCCTGACCAGGGATCAAAGTCACATCTTCTGTATTGAAAGGCGAAGTCTTAACCGCTGAACCATCAGGGAAATCCTTGGGTTCCCTTTCTTAATGTTCAGAAATTCTTCCCCCTGTCTGCCGCCTACAGTCTCTGTGACAGGAGCCCAGAGCCCTCTGCCATGTCCTATGTCCATGCATACAGAGGCTGGGCACCTCCCTCTAAGTAGAGCTTGGCACGGGGTCTCAGAGACCACACCACATGGAAGCTGAGGCTGTCTCTGTCTTTTTCTGGGGAAGGAAACCAAGGGAGCAGGTCAAAACCCATCTCTATGCAGAAACTCACCCTTTGCAGCAAATCAGCTTGAAATCTCATGTTATCACAGGATTAAATGAGACGGGACTTCAGAAGACATGAGGTGGGAAAGATAATTGCCTTTGGCACTAACTACATTTCAACCGTCATGTAGAACAGCAGAGAACAGTAGAAAAATCTTGAAGCAAGCCACTGCCTCAGCCTGATGGTCTTAAATTATTTACTAGGTATCAATTATGAAAGACTTTCAGGCAAACACAATTTCACTTCATCTTGGTCTTTCCTGTTTACAAGACTTTGTACTGAGAATCCCCCCCCCCCTTTTTTCTTTTCCTCACTACCTTTTCTGATAAAATAAAAATCTGACAATTGCTGACAGAGTCTGATTTTCCATAATGCTATCTTTTTAGCCCTTTAGTTTCTCTAAAGCCTGGAGACCCTTTCCTGTCCCCAAAGCCAGAATTCTTCCTTCTACATGGGAATGTTTTTGACCCCAGCCTCCTGCTGCCCGAGGCACGTGGAATGAGCTTTGGAAAACACTGCACTCGTCTCCAAGTTTGTTTGCCCAGTTGGTGTCATGAAATAGCCTCCAGTTTTCTGCTTGTTTGGAGTGGCAGGCACCAAGTGATGGCCTGGGGAAGGGGTCAGCCACTCCTGGGATGGCTTGTCCAGTCTTAATTTACTCACTTGTTCAGGAGCAGGAAGGAGAGTGACACTGTGTGTGTGTGTGTGTGTGTGTTTAGATGTTTCAGTATTTGGAGGAAAGAGGCCTGTCTCGAAATTCAAGGTGTACCCCCTGTCACACCACTGTTAAATGGTACTCCTCTAGTTTTTCAAAGACCTTTAGGCTTTATCTGGCAAGAGGTGTTTTTTCCCTTAAATATATTTGCAGAGATCATATCCGAAAGTCTTATCCAGCAATGAGTTGTCCTGTGACATCTCAATGACATTTCCTCCAGAAAGCCTTCTTTGACACCTCCTCAAATTATCTTCGTGATGTGATCCCATGATGCTGTAACTCCTCCAATAAAGTACCTCTTTAATTATTTGTCTTTTTCTCCCAAAAGACTGTCTGCAGGGTGACAAAAAGGATCATGTCTGTTCTCACCTCACACAGTGCTCAGCAGGTAGTAGGGACTCTGTAAAATTTGTTAACTGAATGGCTCTCAATTGACATTGGTTAACAGCCTCAGGCTTCCCTGGTGAGTCAGTTGGTAAAGAATCCATCTGCAATTCAGGAGCCCTGGGTTCGATCCCTGGATTGGGAAGATCCCCTTGGTGGAGGGCATGGCAACCCACTCCAGTATCCTTGCCTGGAGAATTCCATGGACAGAGAAGCCTGGGGGGCTACAGTCCATGAGGTCACGAAGAGTCGGACACAACTGAGTGACTAAGTACAGGACAGTGTAACAGCCTCTAAGTCAGGGGAGGTCTTGGAGAATAGTGCAGATGGGGTGGATGGGATGAAGGTGATTGATTGTCCTGGTTTGCCTGGGGCTGAAAGGTATCCCAGGAAACAAGAGTTTTGCATTCTAAAATCTACACAGTCCCAGACTAGTTGGGGGATATCTCAGAGAAGAACAGCAGAGGGGAGAAAAGTATCCAGAAAGGAGGAAGAATGATGTTAAAGCAATCATTGCCCACTTTCAAAATTATTCCCGCATTTGGACTGACTGCAGTGTTCCAGATCACCTATCTGCAACTGCTCTAGAGTTAACCCAGATCCTTGCAAGGGCTTCCCTGATGGCTCAGATGGTAAAGAATCTGACTGCAATGCACGAAACCTAGGTTTGATCCCTGGGTTGGGAAGATCCGTTGAAGGGAATGGCAACCGCTTTAGTGTTCTTGCTGGGAGAATCCCCATGGACAGAGGAGCCTGGTGGGCTACAGTCCATGGGATCACAAAGAGTCGCACACGATAGACTAACACTTGCAAGAATGGGGATGAGGTGAGGCAGTGAAGCTTGAGGCACTGAAGGGGGTGATAGGGAGAAGCGAATATGGGTACACTTAGAGAATAAATAAGGCAACAAGAAGAGGGTGGCCAACCATTTCTCCTTATTACTTCCCTGGCACCATTATATGAAGAAGGAGTCAGTAAGCATGGTTTCCCTTCTGGTTCTGGTTCTACCCATAAAGAGTTGGTTTTGTTTGTTGTGTTAGTTACCAAGTCTTGTCCTACTCTTTGGGACCCCATGGACTGTAGCCCACCAGGCTCCTCTGTCCATGGAATTTTCCAGGCAAGAATACTGGAGTGGGTTGCCATTTCCTTCTCCAGAGGATCTTCCCCACTCAGGGATCGAATCCGCGTCTTCTGCATTGGCAAGCAGATTCCTTACGACTGAACCACCAGGGAAGGCTCAAAAAGAGCTGCTTGATCTTAGACAAATCACTAAACCTCTGGCACAGAAGGGCTCAAGGAAACTGCAGTAGGGCTGAGCGATTCTCCAGCCCCAGGGTTTGTCAAAAGCACCAGGAGGGCTGGTGAAGCCGCACAGTGCTGGGCCCCACCCCCAGCGTTCTTCATTCGGCTGGTCTGGGGGAGTCCTAGAATGAGTTGGAAGGTCCCAGGTGATGCTGATGTACCCACATTCTGAGAATCGCAGTCTTTGTGCCAACAGGACTGGGTTTGAATTTCAGCTAGAAGCTGTTAATCTCAAATGAGTTTCTTAACCTGTCCCGGTCTCACTTCTCACATCCGGAAGGTGCAAGTTCAGTGAAGTGATGTGAATGTACTTATTGGCACCTATGCCTGACACCCAGCAGATGCTCAAGCTCAGGGAGATGCACCTTTGGGTCTCCAAGGCCTCTTGGAGATGTTTAATGCAGGATAAGTTTGTGGGAATCCAGGTGGGCAGAAGCTGTCATTCAATAGGTGTTGAAGATGATTTTCATAAATATTTACAGAGCCAACAGTAGCCTGATAAGCATGACCCCTCATCTCCTCCTCATGGCCTACACTGGGCTGCTCTTCACTTACAACGTCACCCCCCACCCCCCCACCCACCAGTCAGCTGCTCTGAGCTTTTTCCTGGAGTTGAAATGGATTGACACCCTCCACTGGCAAACTTCTGCTCAGCACTCCTTGTGACTCTAGAGACACCTTGCCAGCAGGGAAAGAGGAGCGAGAGAAAAGTTAACTAGCTGAGAAAGGAATCAAAGTTCATCAACACACAGCCTCTCTAATTGAGCTGATAAGCCATTGGCAGGGCTCAGGGATCAGCAAAACCTTTGGCAGGAGCAGGAGGGTTTCATCAACAGCTGACAACAGGCTTTGTCCTTTGCTTTCCACTCATCTCAAGACGTCATGACATTAAAATGCCTTTGTTGGGTGATCACTCCAATGGCTGTCTGTCCTGGACATTATGAGGCAGTTTTAATCTTTTTTTATTAGGGAAAATCTTTAAGAACTGTTAGGAAAATGTGATACTTCCTATATTTGACCAGATTTAGGACACACATTTCCACATCAAAAAAAAAAAAACAAAAAAAACCTTATGTTTGTGGAATAATTGACCAACCCAAATCCTGGCCCATTTTGTGTATCCTTCCTTCTCACCACCCACCTTCAGACCTTCAGGGCAGGTCACCACTGTGGCCTTGGCGAGCCCTGGCCTGATTCTGGTGGCCCATTCTGCAATGATTGACATGGACAAAACTCACACATATCTTGCTACAAATGTGGCCCACACACTCTGTCGTCAAGATCATCTAACAGTTCCTGGATTAGTACTATGAAAGTCTTGCCATTGGCTTCAGGCCATTTTGATCTTAGATGATTCTAGTAGAGCACACAGGTTTTAAACTATTGCTCCTGACCAGTGTTCTTCCACAAATTCAGGAATATATTATTTTGATATTCTTATTGCCATAACTATATTTTCAGAGCTTAGTCTTTTGAACTTCCTTCTGTGAATGATTTATTGGACAAATTCAAATTAACTATTTACTGGGCAGAGAACAAGAACTTAATAGACCTGACCTCTAATAGAAACGCATTTTCTGGTCTCAGAATCACCATTATAAAATAGGAAGGAATCTTAGAGGTCATCCTTGTAAGGATGCTTAACCTGGAGCCTTAGGAGGGTTTCAGGATGTGTGCCATCATTTTGAAATTCTATGCAAAATTTTTGTATGTTTGCACAAGCACACATGCATTTTCTTAGGAAAGTCTTTAACATTAAAATCTCAAAATGGTGTCTGAAGAACACCCTCCATTGATATGAAAGAGAACTCTGCAGAACTGACTCTCTGTTCAAGGTCTTACAACTTCAGGGCAGAGCAGGGATTAGAAATAAGGTGCCCTGACTCTCAGCTCCAAATATTACTCACCACCCCATGTTTCTTGGTGTTGGAAAAAGGAATTAGTTTTATTGTAGCCACCATCACAGTCCAAGCAACAGACTACCCACTATTGTCTTTATAGAAGAAAATAAATTTACTTAGCTGCCATATACATTTACTTAACTGCCATATGTGTGTGTGTGTGTGTGTGTGTGTGTGTATGTATGTATAAAACAAGTATACCACATCCTTAACTTATAACTCAAATTAGACTTTTGTTTGGCAAAATATCTAAACCCATTCTTTGCTTGTGAATTATTTTCCTCTTGAAGATCCCATCTTTGTCAATCACAGGACCCCCCCAACTAAGAATCTTTCATATAATCCATTAGGTGGTCATAAAAGTTAGATGACTATTTCAGCCTGAGAAAATTTTCAATAGCAGGTGCAAGTGGGTTATAAGAAAAGTGATGAGGAATGAAAAATTAGAAAAAAATAAAAAAGCTTCCTGGGTTCGGGGTTGGGGGATTGGGAATAGCTAAGGAAAAAATCCGAGAGCCTACCTTTCCACACTCCCCCAGCCTCTCCTTCTCCAAGAGTTTCTGGGACTCCTTTTCCCAATAGGCCATCAGCGCCTCTCTGCTGAATGTCCCTGTGGGGGTTTTCTCGGTCAGACTCTTTTGCCTCATCCCCACCGGGAGGCTGTGATCAGGCTCAATGTCGTCCAGCTCCCTCTCTAGCTCCTTCAGCTCCTCGGCTGACAGGGAAGCCAGGAGTTCGTCCTCATCGATGGATTCATACTTGCTAAGTCCTCTCCTGTAGCCAAAGGTAGACATGGTCCCTGCTTTGTCAGACCCACAAGGAGCTTGGGGAACCAGGCATTCAAGGCAGCCAGCAGCGGGCAGGGAGGAGAGTGGGTAGGCTGGTTAGCAACTGGTGCTGGGAGAGCCTGCGATAGCCTTTTAAGAGTGGTGATACAGGCTGTGACAATGCAGAGAGGGGTGAAGGCATAGGCTGTTTTAAGCATCAGACGTCAGCTAGACATTTGAACACAAAGAATGTCACATCAGTGGTGGATGGAGGTCTCAGAAACCAGTGGGGATTATTCACATACTGGCCAGGGACATATTTAGCTGAGCCTAGTGGCTCATGAGGACAGGCAGACAGGGCTTCAGATAGGAAGTAACCGGTTTCTTACTTTGTTTTCAAACAACAAGAGGGTAAAAATGTATTTCTAAAATGGCTCACTACCACCACCATGGTCATGAAAAGATTCTCTTCTTATAATCTTCCAGGATGAGAAATGACTACACATGCCTTTAGAGTAGTTATTCTAGTTCTCCTAAAAAACATATCGTGGGTTGCATTGATGAGAACAGAAGGTTATAATGATATAGCAATTTTCTATTATCATTGCATTTTGCAGTTTACAAAGTGCTTGTATGTAATTTTCCTAATCATAAGTCCTGAGAGATGACTTACATTAATTATCTTCCTTTACAGATTTTGGTAAGTGAGGCTCTGAGAAATTAAGTGAAGTCAGACAGCTAGAAGGGCGGAAGCCTTTGCACTCTCTCTCCTCTGCACAAAATGGCTTCCTTCTCCTCACCCCTGAATATTAGTAAACAACTTGATTCACAAACAAGACTCCCCAAAAGACAAATAACAATATTGGACAAGATTTATTATGAACTGGCACTACGCCAGTCTAGTGCTAAGCATTTTAAACATTTATCTCACTTAATCCCACAACTGGATTTGTGTCTGGGCTGAAAATTGAAGAGATGCTAATTTGAAATTATATACTTGCCCACATCTTTATGAATGTGATGAAAAACACACACAGTTTACAGGGTTTCATAAATATATCATCCTAGCATACAGATATATGAACATGTGCTAAAATGTATATACATAGAACTATACATGTATCAACACAAATACATTATATTTTGTTTATGCATTCAGTAGTTGTGAATGTTTGGGTTGTTTCCAGGTTTGGGGAGTTATAAACAATGTTGAATACTCACTGCAAGCCTATGTAGCCACATGTTTTTATTTCCCTTGGGTAGCTAGTTTGCAGTAGTGGAATTACTGAGTTATATGGTAAATTTACTTTTCATGAAACTGCCTAATTATTTTCCAAAATGGCTGTACCAATTTACTTTCCCACCAGTGATGAGGAGCATTCCAGTTTCTCCACATTTTAACATGTTTTTGCTGAAGTGTTGGGTTATAGCTATTTCAGTGCCTATGAAATGGTATCTCATTATTGTTTTAAATTTCATTCCTCTAATAACTAATGATATGTGCTGTGTTTAGTTGCTCAATCGTGTCCAACTCTTTGCAACTCCATGGGCTGTAGCCCGCCAGGCTCCTCTGTCCATGGAGATTCTCCAGGCAAGAATACTGGAGTGGGTTACATGCCCTCCTCCAGGGAATCTTCCCAACCCAGGGATTGAACCCAGGTCTCCCACATTGCAGGCAGATTCTTTACCATCTGATCCACCAGGGAAGCCTATAACTAGTGATACTGAGCATCATATCATATGTTTACTGGCAATCTTATGTCAACTTTGGTAAAATAGTCATTTAAATCTTATGCTCATTTTTTAATCGGGTTGTCTTATTACTGTTATAAAAATTCTTTTTATAATCTAGACTTTATCAGATTTGCAGATATTCTCTGTCATTCTGTGGATTGTCTTTTGAAAAGTAAACATATTTAATTTTGATGAAGTTCAGTTTATTTATTTCTTCTTCTATTGCTTGAGCTTTTGGTATTATAACTAAGATATCTTTTCCTAACACAAGATCTGAGACTTACTTTTTTTTTTTTTTAGGATATTATGCATTTATTCATTGATTCATTTATTAAAAAATATTTAAGTTTTTTTTGGGGGGCTGCTTTTTTTATTATTTTTTATTTTTTTCATTTATTTTTATTAGTTGGAGGCTAATTACTTTACATCATTGCAGTGGTTTTTGTCATACATTGAAATGAATTAGCCATGGATTTACATGTATTCCCCATCCCGGTCCCCCCTCCCAGCTCCCTCTCCACCCGATCCCTCTGGGTCTTCCCAGTGCACCAGGCCCGAGCACTTGTCTCATGCACCCAACCTGGGCTGGTGATCTGTTTCACCCTAGATAATATACGTGTTTCGATGCTGTCTGAGACTTACTTTTATGCTTTCTTCTAAGAGTTTTATAGTTTTGGGTTTTCATAGTTAGGTATATTACACATGTTGATTTAATATTTGCGTCTGTGTAGGGTAATGGTCTAAATTCATCTTTTTGTATACAGACGTCCAATTGTCTTAAGATTTTTTATTGAATTGCATTGGTGCCTTTGTGGAAAATTAATTGGTCATAAATGTAAGGGCTTATTTCTGGACAGTAGGTTATGTTCTATAGATCTGTGAATCTATTTCCTTAAGAGAGTACCACCTAGTCTTAATCATTATAGCTTTGTAGTATGTACTGAAACCAGGAAGTATAAGTTCTTCACTTTTTTCATTTGCAAGAATGTTTTGGCTAAGTATTATGGTCTTAACTCATTATGAAATTCTGTCTCCAAAAATAGCTATGACTCTTTTCAGTGATACTACTGGGATAATTATGATATTAGAAATGATGAGTTCATTGTTTTTTTATGGCCTTTAGCATATACCTTTGTTGTAGCCTTAGTGATAATACATTTTTTATGTGAAAATAGTTTTGACTTTTGGAAATGACATCAAATATTATATCCAAATCTGATGAATAAAATGAGTTATTCAGCTGAATAATAAATTTTAGGTTAAAAGATGAATTATGATTACAACTGTATAAAAACCTGTTTTTTTAAAAAAGATGAAAAATGAATTAAAATGATAGTATACTTTTGTTTCTTCAACATTTATGTATTAGGCACATATGATATGCTGACCACTATATAAATTTGAGGTGCATAACTGTAAAAAAATGAAATTGTGTTTTATTCTTTCTCTCTTGTTTGTAGTTTTTCTATAACATTTTAATATTATTTTCATTTGACAACTTATTGAACATACACTGCCTGTCAGATTCTAAATTAAGTGCTGGCATTATAGCATTGAAGAAAACCAAAAATAAAAATTCCTTCCTTCATGGAGTTTACAGTCTCACTGGGGGAAACAGACAATATTTAAATAAATGAGTAAAAACAGAAGCTCAATGGAGAGAAATAAAGTGGGGTAAAAAGGAAGAAAGAAGATTGTGCAGGTAATATTTCAAGTAGGGAAGAGCTCTGTTTTAATAAGGTGACTTTTGAGCACAGATCTGAAGTAAGGTGTTGATGCAGCTTATAATACACAGTTAATGTGACTATAAAATAATGACTGAGATATTTTTGGAATCACAGATTCTCAGCTTTCAAAGGGACTTGGAAAGACATCAAACCTCTGTAACTTCTATAAGTGGTCATTTAGTATTTGCTTGAGTACTTTCGGTGAAAACTGTACAAACTGTACATTACCCAAAACTCATTCCATTGTTGGAGGTCTCAAATCACTACATCTGTCTTTCTATTGTGTTGAAACTGATCTCTTGAAAAATCACCATAAATATATTTTTGCTTTCTCATTGGAACAATGCAGAATAAATATGTTCTCATGTGAGTTTCTTCTTCCAAATCTTGGGTAGCCCATGAATGACTCTGAAAATAACTCTGGAAGAGAAGACATTAAAGTGTTTGGAAAAAAAAAAAATTATGGCCTCTCAAGACACTCCGTTAAGAACAATGGTCATTCAGACATCCTAGTATATATTTTACAAATCACTCTAATTATGATAATAATCACAGCTTATCAATGATCTTAGTTCACTGGATCCCTCATTATGTTTTCTCCGCAGATTTTAAATCCATTGGATAAAATTCTGTTGACTAATTAAAAATCATTGCCTGACTCTGGGCAGACCTAAGTATGATGAAAAATTTAGATTTCCTTGCAAACTTGTCTGCATTGAGGGGAAAAATCCCAGTCATATGTTCTCTGAGCATCACCATTTCTATTTTGGGATTTTTAACCTGATCACATTGTGTTTTCCAGTAGAATTGCTTTTAGAGCCATCAGTACTACAAGCCTTCTGAAGATTTGCATTTTCTCTTTAAAACAATCTCTCTCGGAGGGAATTATTTTCAAGCTTCTTGAATGTCAGTCAGATATACACTATTTCCCAGGACATCAACAATTTCCTTTTTAGTGAAAAGAGGTTTTTTTTTTTCTTTCAACCATTTTTTCCCTTTGATTTCCTCTTGAAAATGCTATTATTTGTTTCTTTATTCAATGTCCATTTACCAGATGTCTGCTGTGTGGATAGGTGCTGTGCTGGAAGCTAGGGTTATAAACAGAAAAATAAAAGTTGATCTAGACACTGCTGCTCTCAGGAGCTCAAGCTTCTCAGAGAGATGCAGACAGCTGACAGTAACACAGTTCAGGGACAGCTCCGCCGAGGTGCCAACAAGAGTAGAGCCATGGAATAAATACAGATGAAGAAGCAAGGCAGCCCACGTGGCTGCAGCTGAAGTCACAGGAACCATAAAGAGATTTCCTGGAAGAGAGAGAAGGCTCTGAGCAAACACACAAGAGTATGAAATCAAAAACACAAACAAAAGCAAAACCAGGCATTGTTCAGTACAGGTGGGGAGTAGGTGGAGCTAGGCAGAAATTGGCCCTGATTCTTACTGCCCCTGCAGCTCCTGTTTATTCCTCCTAGCCACCACCATCATGGTGGACACCTGGTAGACACATACAGATGTTGAATATTTTATATTTGAAGGGTCGTGTTGAGGAGTTTTGGACTTTATTACATC